AAACAACGTTGGTGAAACCGGGCCTAACTGCACTAGTTCGACAGTACAGCGATAACGAACAGACCAAATGACGTCATGTTGTGTCGAACTAGACCTCCGTCCAGACTTACTACAGGGACTCTGCCTCCCTTCTACATGACGCGCATGTTCCGTGCCACTCGCGGCGATTCTGCGGGTCTCGCTCGCACGGGAATGGCGTCGCCCCGGTCGATCTACGAGAATTACTCGCGGTTCGCGCGTCGGTCCTATTTTAGTCGCGTGTGTGGGTGAATGAGGTGCCGCGGCGTCCGTCTCCGGCGCTATTTTCGTCGTCCCTGCGTCCTCGCGAGCGAGCTGCGGATCGACGTGCGTGCGTGCGTATGCGCGCGCGCGAGGGAGGACGGAGGTTAGTTTCAGGCCAGCGAGCCCGGCCCGTGGGGCGATACGAGTACGCGGGGGATTCACGGCGAGTCGTCGTCGTCTCGCGCGGAGCGTCCCGAGAACGGGACCGCGTCTTACGGAGCGACGTAACGGCCTGAACGCCGACGCGGGGTAACGTCAAACACGGCGACCCCTTCCTCCCCCCCGCTGTACACTCTCACTCCTACACACGCCGCTCGACACACGCTTCCTGTGCTAGACCAAAACAAATGCTATCGTAGAAAAAAAAAGGAACCCCCAGGCTATTTTCGCATTGTCGTGCATTCACTTGACAAAGATCGCTCCCGGCGTCGAGCGGGGAGGGGTGAAGAGAATTTAGAAGGGTGCCGGAGAATGGGAGGGGTCTGCGCCTCCCCTCCCCCGGCGAGAAGCCGAGCGGCGAGCGAATGAGACCCTTGTCCCCTTGTACGGCGGGGGGCGCCGCGGGGAAGGGGGTGGGCGAAGGGCTGGGGGAGGGGGGAGCGCCGTGCGCCGGCGAGAGCAAATCGTATATGTCAGACTCGTGGCAGAGGGGTCAGCGCGAGGGAAGGAACGACACGAAACCGAACGTTTTTCTGGGCTTAGCGGGTACGTTTTATCACACACATCGGGGCCTCTCGCCGCATACATTTCGCTCCCTTTCTCTCGCCCTCCGCACCGCCGGTCTTGTCTAATCTTCCGTTCACAATTTCCCCCCCCTCTCTCTCTCTCCCCCCCTGCATTCACCTTCGTCCCTTAGTCACCGCTCTCGTTCCCTCTCGCTTTCGTCCTTCCCCCCCTCTCTCTTTCTCGTTCTCATTCTCCCTCTCCCCCTTATTAAATCTCGACCCCTTCCCCCGTCTTGGTACACGCGACGCTGTCACCGCAACGAACGAACATACGTACGCCGAGGAGGTGCACGCATATCGATCTTCGATCGAGCGTTTCTCTCGGGGCCGCTTCGAGGAGAGACGCGTTCGCGGCTCTCCCGGTTTTTCCTTTCTCTCTCTCTCTTCTGTTTCTCTTTCTTTCTCTCTCTCTCGCGCGCGCGCTTTGTCTCTGTCCAGCCGCTGAATCTCTTTCCCGTTGTAACGGGGCGAGCGTTGTAACAAAGTCGTGTGACATCAAGCTTTTGGCGTTTTGAAGGAACGTGAGACACGCGCGCACGCACGCACACACACACACACGGAGCGAACAGGATGAACGACATGGAGGCCTACGGGGACGGATACATGGCACCGGAGGAGGAATGGGAGAGGGAGGGTCTGTTGGACCCCGCCTGGGAGAAGCAGCAGAAAAAGGTGAGCGGGTGTTATCATAGAGTCGACATTTCTTCCTCCCTTTTCTCCCTTTTCTCCCTCCCCGCCCTTCGTTCTCCTCGAGACCGGTCCTCTCGGACCCAGCCGGACCGAGGGGGGGCCCGTCGTCTCGTTTTCCGCCGATCGAACCCGGAAATCGATCGCGCGGCCGTCAGCAAATCGTCTTTCGTACTTGACGTACAGAGCAAAGTCCTTCGTTGTGGGATCCTGATGCGCGGGGTTGACTCCGCCGCGAATTCACTGCCCTTGGAGCGAAATCGTCGTTAGGTCGCGTAATCGTTGCGAAGAAGAAGATTTGCGATTGACTTTGGGTGTCGGAAACCCGCGACCTCGTATTGGAAACCTATTTCAGTAATGGTGAACTTTACGTATATTTTTGTGGGCGACTCTCCGTCGATTTGCGCGAGGAGCAATCACCGTCGCACGATCCTGTCATCAGGTTTGCACGAATGAATGTTCGTTGAGAACGTAACGTCCCCCCCCCCCCCTATTTTCGCTCTCCAACTCCTTCTGGGAGAGGACCGAGGCGATTGATCTTCGTAAAAGTCGGGACCCATTAAGCTCCTTCCCTCGATTAAGCAACAGGCAAAGTGGCCTCGGAGGAAATATCGTTCATTTGTTTTACCCACCGCATTTAAAGCGAATGCGTGTTGGCCGTAGATACACAGAGATCCGGTATGTGCGTGTACACCTGTTCCAGAGTGAACGAGAGGCAGAGAGGGAAAACATAGATTGCTTTCTGTGTCTTTTTTTTTATCTGACGCGGTCGCAGCTGCCTATTGTAAAGAGAAGACCAAGTATCTCGTGTCTCAGAGTCCAGCGCGCGCTAAGGCCCGGTTTCGCCAACGTCGCTTAACTTCGAGCTTGGCTCAATTCGTTCCTTGCCTCTTTCCAACCGTTACTTTAGAAAGAGACAGACATAAACTAAGATTAAAGTCAAGCGACGTTCGGTGAAACCGGGCCTAGGAGTACGCGCAGCATATGCCGGGTATCTTTCGCCTTGCGTTTACGACACGCCCTGAAGAGTGAAGGAAAAAAAATTACAAGAATTCGAGCGTAGAAAACGTGGCTAGAGAATTGAACGACGGACACAAGAGTTCGGCGATATCAATGCTCGTTTGCTGAAAGTCGCCCGCGCGGAGACTCGAGCGATGTACGATTAATCTCGAGAGACAGAGAGATTATCAACTCCCTCGGATCCGATTGTCGTAATCTTATCGGCGAGGAGCCAAAGGGAATGCTGAAGCAATCGAAATGTAATTCGACCGCGGTAACGCGATAACAGTTTGTTTTTACAGGTCCGTTTTATAATAATTCTCTTGTTACGTCACACACGTGATATGCCAATAAGCGCGAGACAAGCGTGGGACGTTGTTTTACTACAATATTTTGTGATTTTCTTCGCCACAGAATTCTGATATTAAAACAATGTGTATCGCGAATCGAATCAGCGACAATAACGACTGATACCAAATGTCGGTGATTGTACTACACTGTGGACAAATTTGTGTTAAGTTTAACAGATATCACGTGTCCCAAACGGTCCACACAAATTTTTGTGTTAATTTAACATAATACGGATATGTTAAATGATCACACTAATACTCTATTAACATTTTAACACAAAATAAATGCAAATCTCAAAATAATTTGAAATAAATTTTGTGTAAAATTAACATATTTTTAATGACAAAATGAATGTAATTTTTACATTTTACAGATGCAGTAAGTCAAATGACGGTTCGAAATCACTCTCGCTTATGTTATATAGAATAAAATCAACATTTTATTCAGTGAATTTTAACAGATAAATCTTGTTACTAATAATATAGAACATATGTATTGCGTCAGTTTAAAAATAAGCACGCATTGTGTTGTTTTAACATTTCTTTTCAGTTATTTTAATAAATTTACATCCGAGGTCAATTAACACAAAAATTTTAACCGGCATTATTTTAACAAGGAAACACAATTTTTCCAACTGCGTATAAAACAACGGAATTGTGTCAGTTTAAAAATAAGCACACATTGTGTTGTTTTCACATTTCCTTCCAGTTATTTTAATAATTTTACATTTGAGGTCAATTAACACAAGAGCAATATGTTCAATTAACACATGAATGTGTTGTACGTTTAACACAAAAATTTTTACCGGCATATTTTTTTACAAAAATACACAAATTTTTCAACTGTGTATAAAGCAACGGAATTAAGGAGCTAAACACAACTTTTATATCTTAACATATAAATGTACAGAATTCAGATTGTACATTATAGTTTTGTGAATACGTGCAAATTACATGATGTTCCAAATGTAACTTAACCCTAGTGCGCGATAAGATTACATTTCTCTTGCATCTTGACGCTTCTCACGTTTACGAAATTATTCGTAAAGAAAGACAACATAGATTTACAGATAAAAAATCTGTTCTACGCGCTCTGTCGTTGCGACGTAACATTATCAGAGATTTTTCGAAGAAATTATCACCGTCGAGCGATAGGAAGCGGAAATACGATTTAGCCGATTTAGCGCGAACTCGGGGCGAAGTTTTTCGTAAAAACGTCTCTCGTTTTGTTCCTTGCAAAATTTCATTTCGCACATCGTAGCCATTAGATCATCAAATTGCGCCAACTAAAATGGATATTTATACAAACTAGATACTTGATTATTTTTAATATTAAAACGTTATATCTAAACGTGATTGGAAAGAAATTAAGGAAATAATATTAATGAGACAAAATTTTAATACTTATTCAATAAAAGTATAATGCAAATAAATTCAGTGGGGATAAATATTTAATAAGAAATTTTTTTCCTTGCAGAATTTCATTTCGTACATTCGTCGTGGCCGTTAGATACTGATAAATTGGAGCATCCTCGAGTATGCGTTTGCAAGTGTTTTCTTCATTTCTGGCAGGGGCTCAAGGCTCTCCCGGGGCCCCCGCCTCTTCTCGCGTATATCGGCCGCAGCCCTTCGGATTGTATTTTCAGACTTTATGACAAAAATAATCAAGAGCGCAATGAGTCATGCCCGTGATTTTCACGATGACTCGCCGCCGTTCCCCTTCGCATTGACGAAGCCTCTCCACCTCTTTTTTGCGTTATCTCTTCCTTGCCGCCCCTCTCTAGTCCGACGCGCCGGGTCGCGCTAAGCGACGGCGCGACGTCAAGTCAGGTATTAGATAAGCCGTTACTGATAATGGTTACACACACGCCAATAACGCGTCCGTGGGGGACCCGAGGCCCGCGGCTCGGCGCCGCGCCGCTCCGCGCCGGCAACCAACATTTTTCGTAACGCCTCTAATTTTAGAGATCCGCGTGCTCCGTTCCGGAAACGCGCGCGGCCCGAAAACCCGCATTTACCGAGGCTACGCCGTGCCGCCGCGAAAATTCAATCCGTTCGTCGAACCGCGCGGAACGTATCGAGCGTTTATTCACGCTTCGCGGGAAAGCTTACGCAAACTAAGCCCCGTTTCGAATAACGTTTATGACGGCATTGCGATTCCGCGAACGCGAGGCGGAAGGAAGCGCGAGAGGCACAATGGCGCAAAAGTCGTGTTCTTCAATTTTTTATTTTGTTCTCTTATTTCTTCCAGTTTGTTTTTTTTTACAAAAGAGACGATCGATAAGACAAATTAACGGACCGGGTGTCCAGTGGTCTGGGAAATCTGGAATTACCAGGGAATTTTAGAAATCTGGAAATGTCAGGGAAAAGTCAGGAGATTTTGCGATTTATCTGGATTTTTGACATTGTTTCACTTTTTTTCAGAATAATTTAAAGTTTCTAGAAAATAAACCTTTCTTTGGCTCTCAGTACACTAATTCTCTGTTTTGCTGAACGTCAATTTATAGGCGTGGTCGGTAATTTATATTTTCATCGTCGTGTTATTTTATATTATTTCAGTGTGTTCAACTAAGACAAAACTATAAAAAAAAGATGAATTACTAAGCAATACTATCTAAGTAAGTTGCAAACAAAGTGCAGCTAAGCAAAACGACAGCATCATATATGATTACGTACGGTATCACAAATAGTTGGAATGGTTTGTAATGATACGTTCGTTCCTATTACGCAATGTATTATACATAGATGGTGTAATTGCTTTAGTTAAAATTTTTACCCTTTTAAATTCCGGACTTTGGTTTCCCGAGAAAAGTATCTCAAGGACTTTGTCATTTAACGTTTACTTGATTTACCATACAGATGTACGCAAATTATGCATCTTGAAAGAAATTACACTAAACGGTCAGGGAAAAATTAATTCCGGCTCCTGGGAAAACTCCTGAAAAAGTCGGGGAATTTTTTTTATTGAGTTTGCTGGACACCCTGATAGAAGTGAAATTGAAAGAGACTCGGGGGGGATTGGGAAAATAAATTACTAAGAAACTCGAGCGACTTGTACGATGTATTTGCATAGCTACACTTTCTTTCCCGTTTGTGAGAAACGTGAAGTATCGCTCATACGGAAGCGCAAATAAATAGAGTAAAAGTGGAACATTATAGTCAAATAGTCTATCCTCTTTATCCCGAGTTATAACTGATAATACTTACTTCCGGATAATTATTGATACGACAAGTTTGTAGTATATTAATTAATTATGCGTTCGTATATTATTATTAATTGAGAAGATCGATCGGAGAAAGTGTCGTTAGAAATGAAACTGGAAGAGTGCATCCTTTACACATTTTATTTACTTTTTCAGTAAATTCCACTCCTCACTTACACTGAAACGTATTACTCTTTGTTACAGTTTTATTGCAAGCTTTAATTGAAATGCTCTTTGGTGGAGGAAAGTACCCTATTATGAGATAAGCTCCTAATATGAGATAGCAGTTTTTGCTACAGTAATAGGCATCGTCTATTGGTTTCATCGTTAATTTATTGCCCTTGGAGTGAAATCTGTTTAGTGGAAAATTCATTGTTAGATTGCGTAATCGTCGCGAGTAAAGATTTGTGATTAAATTTCGACGTTGAAGACC